AAACCTTTTTTAAAATAGAACTGGCATTTCCATTGCTTGTAGAATGTCAATTGGATCACCATAAGCTCTTTAGAGGTCTTTTTTTTTTCTTGCTCATTGACAACTCCAATTTTACATCAGAAGCCATTTACTAAACTCATTTCACACTCTGAATTCTACTTTTGCTGCATGTCTTCTCTGCCTGTAGCTTAAACAAATCTGTATACTTTTAAGAGTTTGTGTGGTTAGCATAGGCCTACTAGAATAATACAATTAATCTTATTTTCTTGATTGTATTTACATGATACATCCCATTCACTGGTTTTGGAAAATAGGCTAAATTATCAATCTCATTTAAAATTTCAATTTCTCATGTAATCCAGATCTCTGATTATCATCATCACTCAGGATCATATGACTACATAATTCATCACATCCAAGTGCAGATTGTGCTTCATCATTTTAATCACTTCTCAGACCTTGAGGGTTCATATAAGTAAATATGTATACAAGAGTTTGGTTATTGTGAATTTCTTAGTAATTATTAGCCGTTGTTGTTGCTACTTGCTTGTGGGATTTCCTGTCCTAACTAACCTCCTACTTTTCCTCTCCATAATCTGCTCACATCTTCCCAAATGTCCATTGAAAGCTTATATCTTTCCAGAATCGACTCCTCATATTTTATTGCCCAGTCACTTACTGTTAGCCTTTTCTCTTTCCATGCAACCACATATGTACACAAGCATGCATGCATACACACACATGCACACAGCAATTCTAAAAGATTTTTTTCTGTTTGATTACTGAGCACATTCCTTTATCAATACCATCTGACCAAAAGTTAGGAGTATATTTGCATAACAAGGAGTTCAGGGGAAGTGAGGCTTTGCTTTTGATAGGGTGTTTTCAGAAAGTGGAGTAATGAAATCAGTGGAATAAGTCTATAAAAATATTAACGAGAACTGAATATAGCAAAGCTAAAGTTATACATGGTAAATAAATATCAGTCATTCATTCTAGATGAAATACAGGGATGCTTGGTATTTTGTGAACTAGATAATAATCAGATATAATTAAAGAATGTTTTTCTTTGTATTTTGATCCATTACAAATCTGGAGGACGTTGTTGAATACTTCTTCCTTGACAAACCACTGTAATGAGCCTGAGTTGATTCACCTTGGATTTAAGAATACTACTTATGAAAATTAGAGCTCAGCATTCCATATCTAAGGTCATGTTCCTAAGCACCAGCTGGTGACATTGTGATGATACACTGCTCTAATAAATAATTAAACTGACTTCTCTCCTCTCCCTGGTGCGCCAGTGACAGATGAGAGAAGGCAGTATTTTATCAAAGACCTATTGTATTAGTGATGTATTGGAACACAGCACTGCCAGAATCTTTCCCTCAAGTGAAAAACTGCTCTGTCACAGGGTCTTAGAGCTCTAAGCACACAACTTCCAAATCCAGCTCCTGGACATACTTAGAAATAAGATCAAAGATTGAAATTTGTTTTCGTCTTAATATATCAAAAATTTTAATGCAAGTGTGTAGTACCTGGGAGCTCAAGCAATTCAAACTCATAAATAATGTATTTTCCTTGTATTATATTTATGTGAAAAAGGTTAGCATTCCTTCGAAGAAAGAGCTTCTAGCAAAGGGCAGCCACACTGAACAACTGTCCACATGAGTGAGTGTGATTATGGGCTGTGGTAGGTAGAGAGGCAATTTATATGAGGTTTAAAGAAAGTGATCACAGAACTATATCGCAGGAAAAAATTATACAGTTCATTTTTTTCTTACTTTAAGGTAAGCTATGAAATATTTTTCCCCAAAGCATAAAGCCAGTGGTTTCAACATTACATATTTAAGTGATTTTGAGAAGATACAAGGGCATGAAGACTCACCGTGCAGATTCAGTGACAGAAAGGAGAGGGAAAGGGTGTGACCTTCTCCTCTAGCTGCCTCCCTGTGGTGTGGGTGCATCCATTTCAGAAAAGTAGAATCAACCTGGTTCAAGATAAATATCCAGCTTAACCAACTCATCCAAAGAACCATCCCAGTTATAAGAATACATGAGGCAGTTTAGCAGCACTCCTCTGGCAAGATGTATAGATTGTCCTTACTGAAATTACCTGATCAAAGAGAAACTAGACAGGATTGTATTCCTACCATACTTGGCTCACTAAACCCGTGGTTCTAATGTGAATGCAACAACTCAGTGTGTGCAGAAATTTTCTTAAGTACTTCTGAAGGAAATAACTTTTATGGAATTATCTGTCCAAATGGAACAATTTTTCATATTTTGCACAGGTGAGTCATTTCTTAGTAGTTCAGAAAGATGGGAAATGGTGAAATATAATTGTATTGGTAATCTGATGTTTCATAGGTAAAAATAATTTTAGTACTCATTAGAAGTTTATGGATTGAACTATCCTTCACTGGAACAAATGATACACGCATGCTACTGTGGAAGACTCAGATTGCTTTGCTAATCACAGAGTAATTCATCATGTTTAAGCCACAACCTTTTTTCTTTCTTTTTTTTTTTTTAATCTTACATACCTTATTCTTTGCTAACTTGACTCATTTCTTTCTAACTCAAGATTTACTCAGCACTTGATTTTTACTTTGTATATAGTGGGCCTTCTGTTGAGCTATAAAACACTCCACTTTGAACAACCAAATTCTTCTATCATTAGTGTTTCATATATTGATAAAATCCTAGATAACATTCACAACCCTTTTTATCTAGATACTAAGCAGTTTGAAATTCATAGAGAAAAAGAAATTCTTGGATAGTAAGAGGATATTTGAAGAACTATAAATATAATTATTTAATGGTCAGTACGGGTACACATTAACATGCTGGCAAGCAGCACAGCCCTTTCAATATATGTTGGCTGAATGTTAGTCATGGGTGGAAATAACCTAAGCATAAATATGATCCCTTTTCTTAGTTGGAGCCCAGCTATTGCTGCTTTTCAGTTAACAATCACTGATGTCGCCTTAGAAGGGTAAGAAATACATCTCCTTTCATTCTTTAAGATCTGATTATTTATTTAAAAGACTAAATGTTTGAGAGAAAAAGGAGAGAGACAGAAAGATGGAGAGACTGAATCTTTCATCTGTCAATTCACTCCCAAAGGACTCAACAAGCAGATCTACACCAAATCCAAACCTTCTAGAAATCAATTCTCTTCATCAATGTTTTTGTTTAACATTACCTCCAAAACTCCAGCAAACATTCACACATACATTAGTAGATGGATAAATAGTAGATAGATGATAACCATCTTAGACTTTTTCCTGCAGTTTATGACCGTTAACAGATGATATATCTTCTACACCATAGTTTGTATTACAAACTCCCAAATACTCCCCCTAATGCAATCTCCTTAAATATCTTTTCTTATTCATTATATCCCTATGCCAGTATCTCTGCTTCTTACAGTACATCAAACTGCTTTATATTCTTTCTGCTGCCTCATCATCTAATCAAGCGTTCTGTAGAAGAGAATTCCTCTAATGAATTGAAAGGATCATGCACTTCTCTTTGCTGCCCTTACAATGAACATAAAATATCTCTTCAGCCTCAGGTGTCACCATGTACCCCTGTATCTCAATTTGAGATTTAGTCTCTATCTTCTACTATCCTTCATAGTCTTATTACAATGGTATACTATTTATCAAGAAAAGTTGAAATCACATCCAATTGAAATTGTTGCAAGGTATTTTTGATCAATACAAACACTATTTTCAGGTCACAATAATAAAATAGTGGCAGAAGCATGATTGTGCTTTCAGAAACTCACATTAAACTGAAAAGAAAAATAAATAAGGTCTTATAGCAGTCATGATTAACATAATTTAAATCATTTTATAGAAGTAAATAAACTCAGAGCAAACAAAATTCAGCTTGTTGGGATTTGATGGCTTGAAACTGAATTGTGTCATTTCACAAGAATATGATCTACTTGAATTTAACACATAATTCATTATTCTCACTTCTGTTTATATTTGGAATCTCATTGTACACACCATCTATTTTCAGGGAGTTAGGATATCTGCTAGATTCTTGTGTTCCCTAAGGGAGGGAACACACATATGACATGATGCATCTCACTGTATAATTTTCATTGTATGAAATTAGGGCAGTTCATTAGAATAAAAAATATGCTTTATGGAAAACTCTAAAGAAAATGTCTTACAGGATCTGATTTTACCTTTGGTTAAATGGTCACTCAAAATTCAGAAAATAAACCAGTTTCACATTTCAAATGACTAATCATTTTAGTAATAATTATTTTAGTAACAGAGCCGTATGGGAGGATATTTCAGTCAAGGGAAGACATTAGCAAAGTCATGAGGAAAAGACACCATTTCATACAGCATGCTACCATTTTCCAGTTAAAATTTTATAAGTAACTGGGAATAGTAATTACTACTCCATGACTTGAGAAGGATTCATAGTATCACATTACAATGATGATATAACTTGAGGACAATATGGATTTAGAAGATAAGTTTGTCCTGTGTAGAATCATTGAAATTCTTGGATATTAGATATCTTATGAACATTTATAGAAAATGAATACTTCAAAAAACCTGCATTGGTTTAAGTTTTGCACTAAAATAACATTTTTAATATCACATTCTGAAAAATATTTTCAAGTATTTTCATGCAAATTGAGGATGACAGAAAAAAAAGTTAGAATCCCTTTGTCAAAAAGCTGCAAAGGATGTTATTGGAAACCCCCACTCTTTCGCTGTTGAGAATCTAAGTGAATGCAAACTGTCAAAAATTGAAAAGGCATAATTTTAGTATTCTTACCAGAAGACCCAACGCCAGGACTCCTCACCCATGAAAGCTATATAATACAACACATGCCTTGTTTTAAGACAGCAGTAATACTGCATCCCCTCATAATTTTCTCAGCAACTGTTTAGCTCTGGGTTGTATAGCAAAATTGCATAGACCAAGTAATTTAACCAACGAAAAATTATCCCTTACGATTCTGGAGAGTGAAGTTCAAAATCAAGCTTCTGGGGACAAGCTCCTGGTTTGTACGTAGCTGGCATTTATCTCTGTGTTCTGAAGGTGCATTCTGTTCCTAGATAAATGGCGGAGACAGGGAGAGAGACAAACAGAGAATCAAAAGGGGATTTCTTTTCTTTTCCTAGAAGGATGTTATTTTTATCATGGATTTAACCTGTGATCTCATATAACATTAATTCCTTAAAGTTTGCATCTTCTAAATACAGGCACATTTGGCGTTAGAATTTCAATACATCCTTTTGGGGAAAACCCCAACATGCAGAACATAAACAACACTATGAATCTAAAATATACTGTAGTCTAAAAGGCTATACCATATTTCATTTTATTATTATGGGATTGAATGAAGATATTAGGGAAATAATATTCTGTTTAAGAATGTTTTGAAATCTGGCAAGAAACTAATTCACTTTCTCACTTCTCAAGCAAATATATTTCAAAAGTGCTTGAGAAGTTTAAAAGTTCAAAATTTTACTTGAAAAGCAGAGTTACAGAGAAAAAGGGAAAAAACAGAGACAGAGATTCTGCATCCACTGGCACACTCCCTAAATGACTGAAGTGGCAGGGGATTTGCAAGACTGAAGCCAGGAACCCAAGCCTTTTCTGGGTTTACCAGGTGACTGCAGGGGTCCAATCAGTTGGGCCATCTTCTGCTACATTCCCAGGGACATTAGCAGGAAAGTGCATAGGAAATGGAGATGGGACCCTACCTGACATCCACATGGTGTATTGCAGCCACAAGTGGTTGCTTAACTCACTAAAGCAAAACTGGGACCTTGTGAAATATCCTAATATAAATTTATGTGCATTTGAAAAATCACTCACTTTTGAAAAATACCCCTCTAGAGGTGGGCATTATGGGACATAGGGCAAAGCCAGTTTCACATGGGACACTTCTGCTTCAGCTCTGCCTAGGCTACTGGGCACAGCTTCCTTTTAAAGTGTTCTTGGCAGCACATGGATCACCATCACTCCCAAAGGAGACCCAGATGGAGTTCCTGGGACCTGTCCTCTCTGGCCTAGCCCTGGCTGTTGCCAGCATTTGGGGAGTAAAGCAGTAAATGGAACAATTCTTCCTGTGTTCCACCCACTTACACTAAAAAATGAACTTTTAAATAAGTAAAATTCTGTAGTCTGTTGAATATAAAATCTATGGTGTGACTCAAATATCTCTTATAACCTCATTATTAAAAATAGTATTTGTATGTAATAAAAATAAATAATTTTAAAAGGTAGAATTTTTGAATAATGTATTTGGAAAAAATGTATCCATGGCTAAATTTTAATTACAAAAGCATAAAATGTATAAAGCATAAAGTATTACAGTGTAGGAATTTAAACTAAGGAACACAAAATTAAAGTTTTTAATTTTTACTGAAAGGCAGACAATTGTTGCAGCAGTGAAGAAGTAAGTCAACCCACATCCTCCGAGGGCCCGGGATTGTGTTTTGATCTGCTTCTAATTCCTGTTCCTTTGGAGGCATCAGGTGATGATACAAATATTTGAGTCCCTATCACCCATGAATTCCGAGTTCCTGGCTTCAGCCTGGCATACACTGGAATGTTGTGGGCACTTGGGGAGTGGGTCAGCAGATGGACTGTCTCTCACTTCCTCTGACTCTCTGCTCCTTTGTGTTTCAAATAAAAGCGAAATATTTTAAAAATATATACAGCTTCATAACACTTCACAACATATTACAGCAATAATTATTAGAGCAACTAAGTTCTAACATAAATTTAGAAACTTTTATTTCATGATATACAAGCTCATTATACTACCTAAGAAGTCGTGTTCCAAACTGACTTTATGGAGTAAGTGGGAAATAGTCTGTTGTGCACAAAATCAAAGCAGTGAGTCTGCTTTACAATCAGTGGCACTAGTTAATTTTTGACTCAGGACTTCCTTCCTAATTTTCCACCTCATGCTTTCTGTGTGGAAATGGATCATCAATCCCTCTTATGAAGGTAGAATACTGTAGTTGTGCCTGACATCAATATTTATAAGGCACATAACAAACAAAACTCTGTCTTCTTTAAAATTATGTATTAATGACAAATTTATTAACAGTATAAGCAATTGACACATGTAGATAAATTGTAGTGAAATACACGTATGTCTTAAACCTAGGTAATAGTATATAATCTAAATATATTAAATATAATACATATTATATCATATTTTCTAACATTGTTAATCTTGAAAATGGTGTTAATTTAGAATATCTAGAAGTTAAATATTTAAAATAAGATTAATTCAGAATTTTACAGTGTTTTTTGCATTTAAATATTTTAAATCTTCTCAATCGTCTCCTAGCTTGCTTGTTGCTAAAATGTTGCCTCCCAAAAAGTTATATTTTGTGGTGATATTCTGATTAAGTTATTTGTATCCAAAATCATCTTGAAAAAATTATATCATGACAGAAGTCTTTGAAAGCTTTACTGTTCCCTGGAGAAGGGGAAATGCATTGGAAATAAAAATTTTTATGCCCATATTCTCAGCATGATGAGTTTTCAATTTATATTTGTTATATACTAATCAAAAATAAATTGCACAGTGACAAAAGTAAAACATGAGAAATATATCTTTCACTCAGAAAAGTCATCAGTTTCTATTCTCTAGGGGACCAGAAGAAGCATCAAAGAAAGTGTAGAAGATAAAAAAATTATTTTATTAAACCTTTTTCTGTATTATATTGCATTTATACATATAATGTCTGCAGCAATATCGCTTTATCCTGTAACACTTTCTGTTAACTAATAATTTTCATTTTTAAGCCAAAATTATCTGCAGATATAATTTAGTTAGCCCTCAATAACCTTTCTCATATGTAAATGTGAAATGCAGAAAATGACAAATATACGCATGTCATTAAGTTCATTCAAGTCCACTTCCTTATGTACATGATATAAAATTAAGGGTTTTTTTTTTCCTAAATCAGTATCTTCTTTTTAATCAAAGCCAAGTAAATTTATATAAGTAAAGTTATTGACAGATTACATAACTGCTAATAATAGAAAAAGAAAAAGTAATCTGACATGGCAAACCTTATCATTGTGTAAAATTCCCCATCTAACTACCAGATATAAATACAGCTTAAAATACGTGCCCAATATATTCCCCTTTATTATATGGGCTTTGTTTGCATAACTATGCCCATTGTAACTCTTTTCCATAAGAACTTTGTAAAAACAATATGATTTATGAATAACTATGACCACTTCAGAAGTCCTTAGTTGTCTAGGTTAACAATACATTCACAAATGCCCTGAAGATTTTACTTGACATAACCATATTGAAATATACACGAATTTAAAATTGTTTCTATTGTCAGTAGGAATTTCAATTGCAAACTTTTGCTTGATTAATCAGTCACATTAGCACCTCATTTCATAGGAAACATCAAATATGTAACGTATGAGTGTCAATAAAACATGTTTTCACTGTAAATATCATCATTTTTCACTACTTTTAAATATCTCATTAATTTTATATCATAAATGGAGTAGCCTATTTTCCTTGGTACCAATATATCCTTGAATTTTCCAAAAATTATTTTCCATTTAGTTAAAAATCTTACATTCATAGAAAAAGTATGAGTCGATCTTCATTATGATGAAGACTCATTTCCAACTGCATAACTATTTCCTTGTTTTAACTGAATCTATCTCAGTTTCTTCTGTTTGCAGATTGTGATACAATAGGGCATATCTTAAATATTCTTGCAGTCTGCAAATCTGTAACTATCTGAAATCGTCTATTGTAAACACTTAAACACGTTAAAGCAAGTGAATTGAACTGAAAAAAAAATTTAAACAACATGCCATATATTGCTTAAGTATACTATAATAATTGAAATAAATTACTATTATTGTCTATGAATTGTCTTTTCTCATAATACATAATGGGTCAAAGAATGTATCTGAATGATCTCTCATTTGAGAAAATGATAACATAAATATCTTGTATTATGCACTGAGTCAATTTTCTATAGCACTGATATGACTAGACACAGTATTTGCATCTAATTTTTCCTTCTTTTGATCATAGCAGAAAATGTTTAATCATGACCATTCTTTTAAAATTTAATGAAAAAACCACTGCAAAATGAAACAATGTAAAACTGCCCAAAGATATCATAAAGCCTAAAATATTTGGGGGAAATTTGGAAAGAAGACACAAAAATGACTGCTTTTTGCATCGTATTTCATAGTTAATGATATTTTAGAACTTACCATTAAGTTTAATGGTAAAGTTTTATTTTGCTTTAGGTCATGTAATATTTAAAAGTCTCTAAACCCTAATACCAGATTTTTCCATCATCTCCCAACCTCCCTTTTCTGCCTAAGCTGTTGTCCTTGTTGAGAGACCCATTTTCAATATAAGGAACAATATCTTTCATACTACTTCCACACTGACTCCAAATATTTTTCTACTATCACCTTTTTATTCTACTATAATAAAATCTTGAGAAATTTGTCAGCAGAGTGAACACTTTCTTGTTTGAAGGATAAAGTTGTTCGTACTTTAAAAGTGGCTAGGAGTCTCAACATATAACATCAAAGCTTTGCCATGCTTCACAGATTCTGTTATATGTAACTATGGTTAACATGTTTCCTCTACATCATGATTTACAACTGTGATACAGGGAGCAGACATTTAGTCTAGTATATAAGATGCCAGAATCTCAAACAAGAGTATCTAGGTTGGATTCTAGGTTCAGGGTCCTTACTCAGGATCCTAACACTGATTCTGCGGGGACAGTAGTGATGGTTGATGGCTCAGATAACTGGATTCCGGCCGCCTACATCGGCATCTGCTTGGGTCCAGCTCTAGCCACTGTAGTCATAGAAGGAAATAGCCTATGGAAAATATTTGTTTGTTGTTCATCCTCTGTAAGCTTCTATAATCAATAAACATTACTCCTTTCTCAAAATAATTTTTTTGGTAAAAAAAAAAAAAGAATGTGACACCATCATGGAAATAAATCACACATAATACATGGACAAATATTTCATAGTAGATAGTTTTTTTGAATTTTGTATTTAATGATAAAA